AGCCTTGTCCATTGCCGACAAAACTGCCTGCTGGTGTACTCGTGAGGCTATGAGAAGACCCCAGACGAAGATGTCAGCTTGAATTTTCTTGAGTTATTTCAACACTGCCTCTTCTTCTAGTTGTTTTTCCTTCTATTTCTCGACCTCTTTGTCCTTTCCAGACGCCTCTACTTGATCCAGGTGTGGCGGCTTAAAATATCACCCACTTCTTGTCAGATGGTCTATCTCCTTAGCATGCCATGTATTGTTTAGAATGTAATCATCCCAGTCTTCATCAGTATGGGCCAGATACAAATCATTATTGTCCCACCATTCGCCCTCAACGGTCGATAAACAGTTATCTGGCTTTGCTTATACCACCTTCATATTATAGGTATCTCACACAGGGTGTTGTGAATTTATAGTTTCCCGGTTGTCTTCAATTCTTTCCTGATCAAACTGCCTTAGTGCGGCTTCTTGTTCAGTATCTATGGTGCTCACAGTGCCCACTTCTTGGGCTGGGTTTTCTACACCATCGCTCTTCAGCAGCTTTCCTTTCTCATCAGCCCTTTCGGCTACTACAGCTATCTCTGTTTCTTTTCTCTCCGATTTTATTTCAGTTTCTTCTTTCTTGTCTGGCTCATCACTTAGCCATCCAGTGTTATCAGTTGATCCGTTTAGGTCGAACCAGCCGATCTGTACATCTCCCTGATCCTGCTCGTCAAAGAATTGTAGATTATCCAAATCCTCTTCGAGATCTGCTAAATCATCTAACCCCTGGCTCGGGCTATCTTCCCTAACCACATTGATGTCTACCAAGGTTGGCAGCACCAATTTAGGCTTGATTTGACCAGTTGACATAATGTGGCAACATGGATCATACACCCTATCAGGTAAGTCCTTAGGACACTCTGGCAACAAACTAGTGTACCTTCCTCCAAGGTCGACTCCTCTTCCATTGTAAGTCTCATCACCACAAGCTTGGGTTGAGGTTTGGATGTGTCCATCATGCATAGATCTACACCTTCCAGAATGAACAACATTGCTTTTGGTAGGTGAGAGGGAGTAATGCATACGCTGGGGTCATAAGAGGTGGCTAGTGTATGGATCAGGTTAAGATTTAGAGGTGGGGGACTTGATTATGGGCTGAGAGTGGATTTGTGGTTACGTTTGCTTTCCAAGGTGGAGCGATCACCTTGTTGTCAATGAGATCCTGAATCTCATTGCACAATCGAAAGCACTGGTCAGTGTCATGACCATGCTATTGGTGAAATGCATAGTATTTTGCAGGGTTATGTTTGGGTGGGAGAGGATCAGGAAATGGGCGAGGTTCTAAGGGTTTGAGGTACCCTTTCTTGACTAGCACCTTCATGGCTTGAGACAGAGTCATGTATAATTGGTTAAAAGTCCTCTGGGGTCGGGTAGGGTTAGACGATGTTTGTGAGCTTATGTTGGCAAAGGGGTCAACAGTCTTGGTTGTGGTGACAACACTTAGGTCTGACGGCCTCGCAGCTGTGTTACCACCAGCACCACTAGAACTGCGAACAAACGACCTTTTTACCGGCTCCTTCCCATCTATAATAAGCCCCTGCTTCATGGCGTCTTTGATTTGCACTCCCATTTCATGAAGTTCTATAAATATAAATAACGAGAGCACAATCATTCTCTACAATAGCTTGCCATGCAAATTCCGAACCACCATCCTAATCTAGTCCTTCTCAGAAGGCCTTGTGGTCATCATCAAGGCTTTGGCTCTCCATTTTGTCACAAATTTAGAGAAACCCTCCTTCGGCTCTTGGCGGGTTGCCTCGAGATCACAAGTCGTAACCTCAATCTGTGTATTGTAAGAATATTAAGCAATAAAGGCCTCGGCCATTTCTTCCTAATTCTGTTTGACAGAATCTTCCAACTTAGCATACCAAATGGCCGCTATACCCAACATGGTATGACCAAAGAGAGATAACTTCTGTAGTCTAGTTAAGCTCATCGGCCGTAAGATATCAGAAAACAAACGCAAGTGGACCGTCGGATCCTCGAAGCCGTCAAATCGATCAATGTGCGACATTTTAAACCGATCTGGCAATGTAATTATAGAATCAGTACACCCATCCTCTATGTCCGGGATGGAGTTAACCCCTTGTGCTCTCTTGAATAACTTTTCCAGTTTATTGACCTTGTGTATAGTTGGGTCAACCTCGAACTCAAACGGAGCCTCGATCTAAGAAACAAGGGTTTTGAAGGCTTGTGCTGGGATTGGCTCTGCTGGATTGCCCTGGTTTTCTTGAACATTGGCAATATGAGCGGTGGCTTCGGGTGCTAGGATAGCTGCGGTAGATGCATGGAATGCAGAGGCCGCAGTCGGCTGTGGTTGCTGTTGTTGTAGCCTGGTTATAACCTCAGCCTGACGGGTCGCATCATGCTGTAGGGTTTCAATTGTCTGTTGCAGATGGTGTATCAGTTCTTCCACACTGACGGAGAGATACTGTGCCATTGGAATAGGTGATTGATCTCGTGCTGGGCTAGAAGTAGATTATCGTTCCCAAACCAGACTGGACACAGGTGAGTTGAGGGGTGACTGCTGTAAGAACTAAACTAGTGAATTCTGTTTGATTCTCCTCCGTCTTATAACTGGTGGGAGTGAGGTAAACACGGATTGTCCCCGAACAAGATGCCCGGCTTTACAAAGTCTTCTGACTCGGGTCCAGAGTACTTGGGGGATATCCGAACTTTCTGAAGCTATGATTTTAAACTACCTAGCAAAAGAAATAAAGCAAAATAGCAATAATCAGAAACCACACAGCACCTTAGCTAAGATGTTATTAACATAGATGTGATCAAAACTGTATGACTGTACCCCACACTGAATTCTACCCAAAAATAGATACCAACTTTGCAACTACTATGCACATTCATGTACAGTTTCACTGTAAAAAACATACCAGTTAAGAGAGCCAAAACACTCCTATAATGGGGTAGGGTTACCCTATCCTAGTTTTTTCATGAACTAGGTTTCACTATTGCAAACAAGCGGTTTCATGCAATTCTATATTGTGGATGAGCATCTTGTCTAAGTTTGGAACAGTCTCTATGGCTTTTCTATATGCAACTAGGCCAAATGGTCAAAGGGGGTATCTCATCAAGACTACCTAATATACCTCTCACACCTAACACCCAGAAATGAAAGGAGGATCAAACGGTACAACGGTCGTCCAGATCCAAGGGTTGTGTTCCCATCATAGCAAAGCCCACGATCGGTCAACCTTTTGGCAAGCTTTTGGGCAAGCCTCCGGCAAACCGTCCAAGAATAACAGATGACAAACATAGTAACTTAAGCACACCAATGCAATGCAAAGAAACATATAAGTGTAGATAAAATTTCACATCATGAAGTTTGAGTCAAGTTCTCTAATTTCCCCAGCAGAGTCGCCAGAAACTGTAGCTCGCCGGAATGCCTCTGTTGCACAGTTAGAAAATTGCACATGTTTTTCCGCTTCAAACTCTGCTCTGCTTTGCTCTGCTGGAAAAAGGACACTGCCTGCCTGAAAAAAGTGGCCAACAACCCAGAAGTAGTGGTCGACCGGCCACCAATAGTGGCTTGCCGTCCAGTAAAAGTGGCCTGTTGGCCACTAATGTTGGTTCTTTTCTGCAGCAAAAGAGAACAAACAGAGCACAAACTAGAGCATTCTCAGGGGATGTTTGTCCACCCTGCCTCTCCTTATCAGCAAACAGGTCAAAGGAGGGGTAGGCTTGATTTGCCAGCCATCAATCGACGCAATTTCATTGTGTGATGACTTATGAATCAAGGGACACAATTTCAATAAATGGTAAGGAAAGACCCACAAAAACTCCCCCCCTATCATGGATTGATCAAGGAAAGTGGTTGACCTTGGAATCTTGGACCATTTCATCACTAACAAGTATGAAATAAGCCAAGTCTCCACGTGTTCAATTAACGTCCGATTAAACACCAAATTATGTTATTATCTTGTTCCATTTTAGTCCAAGTTTTGTTACTTCATTTTAATTACTTTTCATTCCTTAATCATTTAAGTCCAATAATGAGCTTTAAATCCACTAATGGAGAGAACTCAAAGAAGAATTCTAATATGAATTGATTTTTGAATAATTTTTTGGCAGAATCAAACTAGTTAGTAATTCAAATTTTATTTAAATTTTTTGAACTTTTGCATTTTTAACTATAAAATTACTAATCAAGTTTGTTTTAACTAACTTATCAACTAAACTCATTCAATCTTTCTTGTCACATACTTTACTAAACAAATAATTTAATCAATTTCAAATTTGAAACATTTCTTTTTCCCATAAATAATTGTAAGTAATAACTATAATCAATTATAATTCATGCATTTAGAAAACAACCATCAATTAGTTTTAAATAATTCACCATATCAATAATTTTTTGCTTTTATATGGGCCCTTTTGAGCAAGTATAATAACAAAAAAAATAAGACTTATTTGATTTTTTTTATAAAAAAAAATTGGGACCTTTTTTTCAACCAATTTGGGCCCCAAAGTTGGCACTGTTTAACCACTTTGTGCACATTGCTAGATATTAAGTGTGTACCTAATCTTTTTCCTCTTAAACATACATTAATTTGTATTAATTGAATGTTTTTTATTATTATTATTATTAGATGGATACAAAGAGTGCTGCTATTAGCACTTGCCAAAATTCTTTGGACCCCCCATTTTATAATTTTTTTTTTATTACAATTATACCCTAACGTAAAATTACATTAAAAAACATTATTAAATGGAACACCCACCTATCAATAAAAATTAATACTCTATAATATTGGACACCCACCTCCACCCCCACCCCCATCTCCAACTCCAACTCCAACTATACGTATTCCATGTTTGTAAACCCTAAACCTATTACTTTTCATAACCAACTAACATAAACCCTAAATCTATTATTTTTCATAATCATCTTAAATCCCGAATAAATTTTCATCACCATCATCAACACTATTGGACTTGAAAGTTTTGTTTCACTTATGTCACTGTGTACAGCAATAGAGGAGGAGGACAACAATTCTAGTGAGACTGGCATTCCATTGGTAAGTTTATCTATCTTGTATTAACATTCTTGGTCATTTTCGATCGTTTTCAGTTGTTTTCGTTCGTTCTTGTTTCGTTCGAACTGTTCGGTACTAGTTTGATGACTGTTAGAATTATGTTCGGTAATACAGTACTGAACATAATCCTTTCGTTCAATACATAGGTTCTGAACATTGATGCAGATAGTCAGTACTGTTCAACCGAATATCATCTTCATTTTCGTCACTGTTGAACTGAACAAAACCATTAGTTTCGGGACTGTTAAAATGAACATCATTTTCTCAATTTTGAAATTACATTCACACGTGTTTTCAGGGTGATGCTTCGACTAGAGGCAGTAAGATTGATTCAGAACTTGTAATGGATTATAGTAATGAATTTGTTACTCATGAGGTGAGTCTTTGATTGTTTTACAAGTAATGTACCTTTCTTATGTGCAATAATCGGTTAGTTTAATTTATTTATTTATTTCAGATTTTCAAGAGTCCAGATGAGTTAATTCGATGGGCACGTCAAGTTGGAAGAAAAAATGGATTCGTTATTGTCGTGCAGAAATCAAATGGAGGTGGTATTCGAGGTAGGAAGCCAAGACTTAGCTTAGCTTGTGAGAGGAGTGGATCTTATAGGGACACTCGAAAAAACAGCAGGTCTAAGACAAAAAAAGCAAGACTGACTGGTACAAAAAAATGTGAATGTCCTTTTTTATTAAAGGACAAAAAATTAGCCACAAATGATGACTGGATCTTGATAGTTGTTTGTGGTGTGCATAATCATTCTACTGCAGAATATCTTGAGGGTCATTCTTATGCTGGAAGGTTGTCACGTGAGGAAACCTCTTTGTTGGTAGACATGTCGAAGAGTATGGTACGACCGAGTGAGATATTGGTTACATTGAAACAACGTGATGATGCAAATGCTTCCACAATGAAGACAATTTACAAGGCACGTCAGAGGTATAAAGTTGCTGAGAAAGCTGGGAGATCTCAAATGCAACAACTATTAGGTCAGTTAGCGATGAACAAGTACATTGAGTGGCATAGGAGCTGTGCAGATACTGAGACAGTGACTGATTTGTTCTTTGCACATCCTACTAGTTTGAATTTGTTACGTGCATTTCCAAAAGTATTGTTGATGGATTGTACTTATAAGACCAATCGATATCGGTTGCCCCTTCTGGAGATTGTAGGTGTGACATCGACAGACGTGACCTTTTCAATTGCATTTGCATACCTTCAGTATGAGAAGGAGGATTACTATACATGGGCACTTGGTCTTTTGCGTAGTGTCATGGATGAAAATACTCTTCCTTCTGTTATTGTCACAGATAGAGAATTGACCCTTATGAATGCCATATGTACGGTGTTTCCTGCAACTACAAATTTGTTGTGTAGATGGCATATTGGAAAAAATGTGCTTGCCAATTGCAAAAAGATGTTTAAGACCAAGGATAAATGGGAAATGTTTATAATGAGTTGGAATATGTTGGTTATGTCATCGTCTGAAGAAGTATACATGCAACGACTGTCTTTGTTATATAGTGAGTTCAGTACTTATCAAGATGCACTTCATTATGTTACCTCATCTTGGTTGGATACATACAAGTCGAAATTTGTGGCTGGATACATACAAGTCGAAATTTGTGGCTGCTTGGACTGACACATTTATGCACTTTGGAAATTCTACAACAAATAGGTAAATACGAACATTTAAATTTACTAGTTGTTTGGTTTTTTATAACATTATTTTTATAACAGTTTATTTTCGTATATAGGGTTGAGAGTTCACATGCAAAACTTAAAAGATATCTTGGATCAAGTCAAGGAAATTTTGAGTCAAATTGGACAAGGATACACAATTTACTTGAGTTGCAACATAGTGAAATAAAATCATCATTTGAGAAAAGCAAGTTAATTGTGCAACATGATTTCAAACTTGCACAGTTTAAGGAGCTTCGTGGTAATGTCTCAATTACTGCATTAGAGATCATATTGGCTGAGTCTAAACGAGCATCTTCTGTTGGTATTGATATTACGGCATGTGGATGTGTTGTTCGACATACTCATGGTTTTCCATGTGCACATGAGATAGCAAATTACATGAGGGAAAATCGGCCAATTCCCCTCTCTTCGGTTTGTTCATATTGGACTAAGCTTGATATGTTGAGTACCCCACACACTGTAAGTGAAGAGTGGACTTGTACACCAGAGTTAGAATTGTTTGCCAAACAATTTGAGGAAGTGGATCCAGATATGAAGAGGTTTTTGTTACAAAAATTGAGGGAGTTAGCCAAACCTGATTGTACATTTTTGATTGAGCCGGAAGTGAAGTCTAATCCACGGGGTCGGCCAAAATTGAAGATTGAGACCTCCACTCGTCATGAGCCATCTGCGTTTGAAATAGTTGCTTCAGCACAAGATAGTCATCCACCCGGAGTCATTGCCAAGGCGAGTGTAACAACAAAAAAGGTGAAAACAAAGAAGAAAGAAAAGGTACATGGTTTACTAGTGAGGTATGTAATTGTGTCATGTTGTCTACTTTATTGTCTAACATTGGCATTGGCCTGTGATAGGTTCACCGGCTTTGATCATTGAATCTAAATTGCTTTTTAAAGGCATTCCCTTCTGAATTGAGACGATATATTAAATACGTTAAGGATGTTGTAGCAGATGGCAATTGTGGGTTTCGAGCTATTGCTGGTTTGATGGGTTTTGGAGAAGAATGATGGTTACAAGTGAGAAAAGATTTACTTAAAGAGTTGCATGCGCATAGTGACCACTGCAGGAAATTGTTTAGATCACAAGAGAGAATCGATGACCTGACCAACATCTTGGCATATTTTGAACCAAACCCTGGGTTGGACCGGTGGATGACGATGCCTGACATGGGTCATCTTATATCGTCTTTCTACCAAGTCGTTTTGGTCCACTTGTCTATGCAATAATGTTTGACATTCCTCCCTCTTAGGTCAATACCGACGTCTGTTGCCTCTCGCAAGGAGATATGTATTGGCTTTGTCAACAACAACCATTTTGTTCAAGTATTGGTTTCTAATATTTTTGTACATTCTAATTTTTTTGTAAATTCTTGTATATTATAACGACAACATTTTTGTACATTCTAATTTATTTTTATTTTTTTTGTAGCTCATTTTGGAGCCTAGTCATCCTATTCCACCCATAGCAACTAACTGGCGGAGGTACCATGACCCTTGTGCAGTAGGCTGGGACGTTGCACACAGTTCCAGAGTGCAACATTTCAAATCACTCATCAATCTAGACGTAGCCACTATCGAAAAAGTAGACCTGGATGAGGACTAATGTCATATGAGTGAGCTAGGAAATAGAAATAGAATTAGAATGGATTTCAGTTATGTAATTTTCTTTGTTAAACTAACTTAGAATGGAAAAGAGTGAATTGGAATGGATTTAAGTTATGTATTTTGAATGGATTTAATTCATGTTATTTTCTTTATTCTAATGAATTGGAATGGTAAACATTGAATTGAAATGAATGTTATTTTCTGTGTTGTACTGAATTAAAGTTGATGACAAAAGTGAATTGGAATAGATTCAAGTTACACAGTGATGAACCATATATGTTCGGCATTACAGTGATAAACGAAGACCATCTGTTCGGCACTACAGTGATGAACAAGTCAGTTTGATTCGGTCAGTCAGTGATGAACAGAAAATTCATGTCTATTCATTAGTCCAAATTTGTTTATTCCGTGATGACCATAAAGCAATAAACTTACTAATATTTGAAACAAACAAACTATCAAACATCAAACCAATTCAAACCATCAAACCATCAAATGTTCGGCATTACAGGGATAAACTAAGACTACCTGTTCGGCATCACAGTGCTGAATAAGTCAGTTTTATTCGGTTCCACAATGCTGAACGAGGAGGATTTGTTCGGTTAGTCAGTAATAAATAGAAAATTCTTGTTTATTTCCATCTTTGTTTATTCAGTGATGACCATAAAGCAATAAACTTACCAATATTTGAAAGAAACAAACTATCAAACCATCAAACCAATTCAAACCAACCATCAAACCAATTCAAACCATCTAAACCATCAAATGTTCGGCATTACAGTGATAAACTAAGACTACGTGTTCGGCATTACAGTGCTAAATAAGTCAGTTTTATTCGGTTCTACAGTGCTGAACGAGGAGGATTTGTTCGGTTAGTCAGTGATGAACAGAAAATTCATGTTTATTTCCATCTTTGTTTATTCAGTGATGACCATAAAGCAATAAACTTACCAATATTTGAAAGAAACAAACTATCAAACCATCAAACCAATTCAAACCATCAAACCATCTAAACCATCAAACCAATTCAAACCATCAAACCAATTCAAACCATCAAACCATCTAAACCATCAAAATAATTCATTGAGTGCCCAAAAAGGTATGGTAAAGTCATATACAAGCCTAGCACCATCAAAAAGTCTAACATATAGTAAAGTGTTATCTGACATTTGTTATACTTGTGTCTAACACCATCAAAAAGTCTAACACATGTTTGAGACTAAGATTTCAAAATACACATTCAAAACATTTGAACCCAACAAATGCTAAAGTCTAAGACATTGCTCCATGCTTCAGTGGACTGTTGGCCCTCCAAGACTTGTGTTATCTTCTTCATGGCATTGCGTAACATATCTCGGGTGAGAGCTGCTTCATTGTATCCAATTTCGAGCATTGAACATGAAATTCTTAAGGCACTGCCAATGCGCTACAAACAATAAAATAAAACTTGAAGTTTAGGGATTTGCTTTAGCATTATTTTCTGATTTTTTATTTATTGGGTTTTATTAGGATTTATTGTAGTTTTTTTTTTTTTTGGCAACTATTACTGAGGTTTCCTAGGATGATATGTAATAGGTTTTGCAAACTTGGCTTAGATATTGATTAGTTGAGTTTTTTGATTTGGGATTGGTTCATTGTTTCCTCCTTCCCTCTACTTTCTTAAATAATATGATATCCACTTGGTGGGTTCATGATATCATTGTCCCACCATAATTTTTTTTGTCAATAACAAAAAAAAATTCATTAATAAAAAAGTAAGAACATGGAATACAAAAATAACAATAAAAAGGAAACCATAAGGACAAGAAGTCCCTAGCAAAGAAAAAACAAAAGAAAAATATCGTGATCTACGAAAAACCTTCCAATCTCTAGAAATAAAAAAATAAAGGAATCTCCTTTAAAGGAAGGAGATATTGAAACCCAAATGAAGCCAAGTAGTGAATCTTCTCCCATAATCCCTCCAAATCATCACTTTTCCGTTCAAAGATTCTACCATCCCCTGTTAACCATATGACCCACAAAACTGAACACACAACACAATTACAAAGATCCTGAGTTTTGTCACTTGAACCAAAACCTCTTAGATCAATACAAAACAAATGAACACAAGCAGAAGGAACTACCCACTCCAATGTAGTGGTTAGGTAGAATTCTTATAGTACCCCCTAATGGTTGCCACAAGGTGATATTAAGTGATAGAGAGCCTGGTGGGGTTGACAGTATGAGGTTTGCAAATTGTTAAATTTATTCAAAATGGGACAGTAGGAGCCCCTTGAAAGCATGATTATGTTTGAACACTCATATCATGTCTTCATGCACTTGATATGTCTATATCTATTTAACAATTATATGACAGTGTTAATATACTTTTCTTAGGTAATGATAGATGTCAGAGTTTGAATTTAATATGTAGAAAATTTAAGAACAATATGGAATTTCAAACAAAGAAACTACAATTATAGTTATTATACTTTCTTATATCTCTTTTTTCCTCTTCTTCTCACCTCTTCATCATCCTCATTTTCCGAACAAAATTGAACTCACTCTGAAAGTCTGATCTAAAAAAGAAATTAGATATGTAGAGCCCTTATTTCAAAACAAATGGATTGTTGTTAAACCCTGAAATTAATAAATAAATGAAATATTTGAGATAGGGAAATAGATTATAATTGAATCTACAATTTCCTATTGTGATTTGTAATTCCCAAAATCAATAAATCCAATCAAAAAAGTGTTACCAAGCCTAAGGTTCAAGCCACACGAGCTCTCAAGATATATATATCTATCCACACTTGTTCAATTTTACAAAATGCCCTTATCCACGCATGGTCATTACATTATAATATTAGGGTTTTGTGTGGTTGTGGTTTTGGTTGGTAAATGGTTTTTTTGTTTACGTGGTGATGATTAATTGAAGAGAAAAGATATATAAATTATACCTTTGATGGTAGATGAAAAATTTTATAGCAGTAAATCATACCTTTGATGGTAGATGGAAAATTTTACAGCAGTAAAGTGTTGAATTTCCGAAATGGGGGGTCCAAAGTACACTTTCGGAATGGAATCAAGCAGCACTTTCGAATGTCCCAAGCACTTTCGGAATGGAATCAAACAGCAAAATGGATTCAATCTGTGTGCATTTGATTAGGTCGGTGTGCATTTCGAATGTCCCAAGCACTTTTGAAGATGAACATAGGGGTAGACCAACAGTCAGGAATGAGAGGTATGAAAATTAGGTGGGTGTGCATTTGATTGTAAAAATATTAGGAATAGGGGTAGATTTGGTAATAAGTGGGGTGTCCAAAAAAATATTATTAAAATTTAGGGTTTAAGGTTGGGGTCCAAAGAAATGGGGGGTCCAAAGAATTTTGATATGTGCTAATAGCAGCACTCGGATACAAATGCTTCAGGGAGATTAGTCATGTTAAAATGACCATATTACCCTTTGATTTGCACATAAAAATACAAAAATACCCATAAATCAAGACGTCTCGTTTATTATCAACATGGGTAAATTACACTTACCTCTCCTGGGGTTTTGCATATATATTATTAAATATCCATACATTTATTATTTTGGGGAATTGACCAGTAAATCCCATTTTGTGGACTTGTAATCCATAAGGTCCTGAATGTTTTCTTGGTGACTGGGTGGTCCCTTAATTTGTTTGTTGACAGTTTTGCCACTGCTAGTATTATTGATTGACATTTGGTGTGGGTTTTTATGGGAGAAGGTGAATAGGTGTTTGTGTGTCACGTTGATCGAAAAAGCACACTAATACTTTTTTTAATTTAGTAAGTGTGTAACACTCACAGCATGAGACGTGGGTTATGACGTGAACACGAGTAATTTGACACAGTTTTTTTTTTTTTTTTTTTTGGGTGAACTAAGTAATTTGACACAGTTTGACACGAGCAACTATGTCACATTTCAACTTTCCCACAGTTTGACCCCTTTTTTCCCGATTGCCATTTGTGACGTTTCGACGTGAACCTTACCAGTTGTTGGGTTCACGCAAAATCCGATCGCCTGCTCCGGCGGGGTACGACGGGTGATGCTTCAGCCAATCCCACTGTTTCTCGTCCCAGCTCTCAATCTCCTGCCCTCCTATGGAGTAACTGAGTTCTAGGTCGTCGTAGAATATCGGGTCATCTAGGTCGGTACGCAGGTTAACTCGATGCACACCCCCAGCGCAATCTCGCTTCTTTGAAGAAATCGATGCCTTCGTTTCGTTCTCTGAGAAACCAGAACTAGGGTTAGGGTTTATGAACGACGAGAGAGCCCAAACCGTTAGAAGAGCCACCAAAACTCCACCGACGAATAGAAGGCCGTCGGAGAGAAACGACCCCGCTTTGGTCCGAGCTCCACGCTTGGCCATGGATAGTAATGAAGATGTATGGAA